ATACACAGTGGAATATGGGTCCCACCACATGAGCCCAGGCCCAGCCCTGACGCTCGACACGTGTTATTACAGAGGTCTAACAGACAATAACGTAGAGACACGTGTCAAAATTTAAGACTGTAGACTATGACTTGTATGCTGGTCCCGTGCATATGCCATAAAACAATCTGAACGAAAATTATAAAGGAGTTTGCTCCAATCATATTCCGACACGTAACCTAGGCATACTGTCCAAACCTGCATGTTTTGTGTTTAAAGTATACATAGTCTTATGTATATGTATATGTATATGTGTCAGTAAACATTGTTGAGTTATGATTTCACGCCGAAGCTATACATATATTGGACAGTTAGTCTTTTTTTTCTTTCGCAAAACACTTTCTAGACGTTTTTATTCTAATGATAAAAGGTAATTAAGTACTTTGATACGTGGATAAAACAAAAAATAATATAAAAGATATAACTTTCGAAAGAATATTCAAGTTTAAATGGCCTATTGGTAAGACAATATTTAAATCATGTTTTTATTTCGAGTTTAAATCTAAACGTAAGGAAGTGTATTCGTCCAAACTTCTCCGATCTTGTGAAAAACGTAGTTGAACCAAATGTTGGATAAACTTACGAATTATAAAAAAGAAAAGTTTCGAAAGATTAGACGCAAGATGAGATAGATAGACAAATTATGGTTTAAAGTAATGTACATATATCTAACCATTAAAGTTGTACTAATTTAAATTACAGTTACTTTTTAGCATAATAAGATGGGTGTTTAGCTTCTATGTATATACTGTTGAAATAGAAAAATGAATATGTGATTGAAGAAAATATTGATTTTAAGATATGATTAGAAATAATAATGGACATAATATTATATCAAATATTGTGTATCGATCTTATTTATTTCTATTTCTTTTTATTTCGTTTCATAGTTTTTCTATAGCTATGTGACTTATTTTCATTGTAATTCAAGAAGAAGAAGAGATGTAACAATAAAAGTAATTTCGTTCATTTCTATTTATCTTATTTTATTTTCGCATTTTATTTTTCTATATGGTATCATGGTATCAGAGTCTGGTTCGATCTGTTCTATATATTTTTTTTATCTCTTCTTTTTTTAGTTTTGGATATTCATATATCCAAATCGTTCAAAGAAGAGTAAAAACCCAAAATCAAACAAGGTGCTATCACAAAAAGAAGTCAAACCTAAAAACTCTAAGATCAAGCGAGTTGATATGACAAAAAGAGTTAAAGGTAGAACTTCAAAGTCAAGCGAAGTGATTTGAAAATGGGTAATACTCTCTAAAAGAACTAAATTTGGTTGCTTATAGACTTTTCAAAAGACAATAAAAATATCTATGGGTTTTTATCGCATTATCTTTTCAAGATTGATTTTTGCATTCTTTCAAAATCAATCTTGAGGGAATGTTGAAATAGGAAAATGAATATGTGATTAAAAGAAATATTGATTTTAAGATATGATTAGAAATAATAATGGACATAATATTATATCAAATATTGTGTATCGATCTTATTTATTTCTATTTTCTTTTTATTTCGTCTCATAGTTTTTCTATAAATATATGAATTATTTTCATTGTAATTCAATAAGAAGAAGAGATGTAACAATAAAAGTAATTTCGTTCTTTTCTATTTGTCTTATTTTATTTTTCTACATATATGTGTATGCATGAACAATGCATCCTTCGAATGTATGAGTCGTTTATCAATTTAACCATTATACAACAACTCTTTATATATATATATAAGAACTTGTGGATGATTCGGTACTTAAGGTATAAATTGCATTGATAACAAAGACCTATATTAGATCCAAGGAAAAAGAAAGATCGGTTATGTGTCTATTCTAATATTATAAGAGTAACTATATTAATAAAGAAGAAATAAATTCATTTCATATTAACGACATATATGACAGACCAACTTGTGTTTATGAGACTATTAAAATTATCGATCCCAATATAATCCACAATTTTTTTCTTTAGAAATTCAGAACTTTATTTCATCCGTAGTTTCACTTTCAATAATTTTTTTTACAAAAACATAATCAAAATAAAAACATTGGCATCCTCGATATGGTGTCAAGGTAGGATATCTTTTGTTGAAAAATAAAATGCGGAAATTAAAAAGAGAGAATAGAAGAGAAAAATAAAATAAAGAACACTTTTATTACTACATCTCTTCTTCTTGTTATTTTACAATGAGAATAACTCATCTATTTATAAGAAACTGCAACTATAAAATAATTAAAGAAAGAAATTTACAAAGAAATAATATATGATGGAAACAAATAAATTAAGAGATAATTGACACAATTATCATTATTTGTTAATTGATTTTGTGTCTTTAATTTCTCTCAATCATCCTCATAATCATTTCCAATCAATTTCAATCTTCTTAAATATATATTTGTTTCCTCATTTCAACATTCCCTCTCAAGATTGACTTAGAGATAATGCAAAAAGTCAATCTTGGAAAGAATACCTGAAATAATTCAAAAACTCGATGAGTAATTCAGTAATTCATTGTTAATAAAATGATCCATAGATACCAATCAGGTTCTTGAGAGTTTTGATCCATCTTCAAATCAGTTCGCTTGATCATGGAATTCTGCCTTTATCTCCTTTTGTCATAGCACTTCGCTTGATCTTGGAGCTTTTTGTGGCATTGATTCCTCTTGTCATAGCAACTCGTTTGATTCTGGATTTTGCTTCACTTCAAACCACTTGGATATATGAATATTAAGAACTCAAAAATAAAGAGAGTAGAAAATAAAAACTAAGAAAATATATAGATTAGATCGTAACGCTGCTCTGATACCATATTGAAAAATAAAATGCGGAAATTAAAAAGAGAGAGTAGAAGAGAAAAATAAAATAAAGAACACTTTTATTACTACATCTCTTCTTCTTGTTATTTTACAATGAGAATAACTCATCTATTTATAAGAAACAACTATAAAATAATTAAAGAAAGAAATTTACAAAGAAATAATATATGATGGAAACAAATAAATTAAGAGATAATTGACACAATTATCATTATTTGTTAATTGATTTTGTGTCTTTAATTTCTCTCAATCATCCTCATAATCATTTCCAATCAATTTCAATCTTCTTAAATATATATTTGTTTCCTCATTTCAACAGTTTTTAGCATTATAAGTTGACCATACATTTATTACAATAGCATCCTCATAATAAAATTGTACAATAATAGTTTAAATAGATATTATATATTGCTAAGTTGGACAAAGATCATATATATATATATATATACACACATTTGGGGATGGACATTCACTCGTACTTCTCGATTTCTTTGAAATATGTAGTTGGTTTAATAGACCAATAAACTTTCTGATTATAAAAATATCATATATTGCATCATGTAGCCATATGTAGCCATATATATGTAGCTAAGTGACGGAGTAATTTCAGCGAACAAAGTAAAAAAAAAAACAGCTAGTGTGAGACATGAAGAGACAGTAACCATCATCTAGATTATAAGATGCCATGAAAGAATAAGTGAGAAAACCTATCATTGCAAATCTAACTAATTTTTGTAATCATGTGAAAAAAAGACCAAAATCTTCCGCTTAGCCCGACGAAGAAGCATCCTCCAACAAAAGATGAATATCCAAAAAAAATAAATATAATAACCATATGGAATTAATGCACAAATTTTCGATTTTAGATGTCAACAACTTACGTATGGAATGGGTAAAAAGCAGTTTTACCATAAAAATCTCCCACCATGATTTTTAACTGTTCAATTGAAAGGATTTACCAACAAACTATATCTTCAAGAGAACGACTTTCACACGATTTACCTTTCCTAGAAAAAGGTGTCGGCAAGAGGAGGAAAAAAAAAACCCTAGAAGACACACATCGGTATCGTTCCTATATTTGGTTACTTACACATATGATATAGATATAGAGTGTACATATAATGTATAGTGTCATTCTTTAAAGCCGAACTTGTAGTGCCTAATAAAAGATAACATGTTACTTTCTGAATTGGTTAAAAGAGAGTCAAGAAGATACTCGGCATTTTGATTTTCATTTTCGATTTAGGTATTTTTGGATTTGGTTATTTCCGTTTTGTAAAATTATATCCATCTGAATTTTTAGGTTTAGATTTGAAACGGTTTATTTTTTTTTGTTCGTTTTTTGTTTTTCAATTTTATATTATGATTAATTTAATTCAAAAAATATACTCAACCAAATTCCACAAATGTTCTTGTCGGATTTCCTAGGGCACGATCTTTCTTTTGAGAATTAATAATCGACGAGGGGTTAATCTAGAGAACGATAATACGTATCTTAGTATCTATAGATATATACACTGATACACACACACACATATGGTTATTGCTGAATTTTTTCTTGAAAAGTTAAGGGAGAGTGAAAGAAGCCTGGGCATTTCTTGGACTTGAGACCCTAGACCTAGAGAGAGAGAGAGAGAGAGAGAGAGAGAGAGAGAGAGAGAGAGAGGGGGAGAGAGAGAACCATTCATTCCAAGTGTCGTCAGACCAAAATATTTCGGTATGTCAATTCATGAACTTTCTAGAAAGATTAATGTAACGGTTACTTTGAAAATCGAAGAAAATGAAACGTTATTAGCAGTAAATATTGTAGTACTGAACATCGTATTTATTTAATATGTTTTTCTTTGTTAAAATGTGAACAGTGCGGCAAAAAATCATAAACGTTATATTTAGTTACTCTTCGAAAGTCGCTTACGAATTCAATGAATAACGAAGGATTTTCACATGCTTTTTTTTCTTTCTCTTAAGAGTTTTATGGACGAAATTATTTCATAGAATTGAAAAAAAAATATATGTCGGCCAAGAATTAATACATTCGCACATTAAAATCTAATACAAAGGAAAAGGACCTTAAACTTTCTTCTCTCCAAAGGAAAAGGAACTTAAACACGTAGAAGAGGCCCACTACCACCACACCGCACAAAGAGAAAGCATACGACGTTGTACGAAAGGAGACAAAACTAAGGCCGATGCCCTAATCACAAACGAACGGAATGTGAGGTCTATATATGTGTATATATACATATATATGTCCTGACAGAGCTTCTTTCGCTTATTCATTTCTGGGTTTGGAGGAGGCAAATAAAAGGGTGAAAAAGGAAAGAGAGAGAGAGAGAGAGAGAAGATTCGATTTTTTTTGGGGGGTTGTTGTGAAATAATGGGGAGAGGGAAAGTGGAGCTGAAGAGGATAGAGAACAAGATAAACAGGCAAGTCACCTTTGCAAAGAGAAGGAACGGCCTGCTGAAGAAGGCCTTTGAGCTCTCCGTTCTCTGTGATGCCGAGATCGCACTTATCATCTTCTCTAACCGCGGCAAGCTCTATGAGTACTGCAGCAGCCCTGAGTAAGCCCCATCTTCTCATGTCTCCCGCGCCTACTTTCTTATTGAAATTTAGGGGTTTTTTTTTTGGGGGGGGGGGGGGGATTTTAAAAACCAAAAAAAAAAAACACCCATGATGAAGAAAGTTGGGGTCTTTCCTTGGTGGGTTTTGTTCGGTTTTTCTTCTTTCTTGTTTGGTTCTAGGAATTTGATGGTTAGGTTTTCCAAGTTTCTTTGTTCGTGATTTGTGCGTTGAATAGTGTTCAAGCATTATGTATTCAAAATTTGTTTAGGAGCGTTGATTTCCAATGGAAAGAAAAGGATCGACCTTTGGACATAGATCCAAAGTTGTGATAATTAATTGCTTTTAACAAAGTGATCTCAACATTTTGTAGTTTTCCTTTAGACCGAGTGACCAATGAACTGTGTCCTGACTCATATGTATCCTTAAATGAGATCTAATTCTTTAAGATGGTTACAAAGTTACATCAACTGCTCAAAATTCATAGAAAGAGTTTTTTGCGAAAATCTCGTGTCGGTAAAGGGTCAATGCGCGTTTTATATTTCGATCGATATTGGTGCTTCGATTTGTTTAGTTGAGAGATCAAGTGGCTTCTCGAACTTTTTGCGTACATGTGAAGCGGTACGGCAAACGCGATTGAGAGGTATCGAAAGTGGAGATATGAAACGATGGATCCCAGTCAATCCGCAAAGGAGATGCAGGTACATATATCTTCTCTTTCCGACAACCCAGATTAGGTTCCAAAGAGTTGGTTGTGTGTATATATATATATATATATGTGTGTGTGTATTTGTATATCATCTCAACAAGTATAAGGCATAGCATTTGATCTCCCTCCAAAAGAATTCTTTGATCGCAAGAAACATAAGACTGTCATGACTTGACAAGAAAACTAAGCGAATATCACCACTTTGTTCTGGCTTGAAAGAGTTGAAGGATTATATATGGCATGGTTATATATACATGCACACACACACACACACACACATATATATATATATATATATGAACATTAGCTTTGATGATATTGCACATTGTGCCCAAACATAGACCCATCAAGACCTCGTGTATATATCAATACTAATGTATAGTTTCCTCTCCTGGTTTGATTTTGAGCAGGAGAAGCACCAAGATTACTTGAAGCTCAGATCAAGAGTTGAGACCCTCCAACACTCACAAAGGTAAAACCTAATTAAATAACAGCTTGAAACACCCCGGAGAAATCTGATTGTACGTATATTTATACGTCGTATAATACGCTTTTTTCTTCAGGCGTTTTCTCGGCGAAGGGGTTGGAGAGTTAGGGGTGGACGAACTCGAGCTGCTTGAACGCCAAGTAGACACTTCGTTAAAGCAGATAAGATCAACCAAGGTGAAATCCCGAATCTCACCACCCGAAAACTTGATTATCTTTATTGATTCTTAGATGTTTATTAGAGTGCTAGTATATAAATCTATTGTATATCTTCATTTTTCACATTAATCTACGGTAAGATCATTGGATTAGTATGAAGATGAATGTATACATTAAGGTATTTATACCCAACAGTTGGTGGTTCAATGGGTGAAAGATGACAGTTATCTTCAAAGTCCTGGGATTCGATTTCATTGGTGAGAATGAATGTAATTTTTTGATCAAAATGGTCTACATACAAAGGCTAGTTCTGGGTCTAGGGTGAATTTAATCGAGTTGAAAATCCGGAAAACCATTCTGATTATAAAAAAAAGAGTATTTATACTATAACACTATAGTAATGGTAAGAATCTCAAATCTTGGCCGTTTGTATTTTTTCGTGCAGACAAAGTTTAGACTCGAGCAACTTTCCGAACTTAAAAGAAAGGTATATATATACTTGCATATATATATATATACATATGTATATACACGCACGCACATATTAGACAAAATCCACACGTTACAATGATTCATACGGTAAACTATTAACCAAGATTTGTAATCGTTAAAAACCTTGCAGGAGGAAATGCTAATGGAAACTAACGAAGGGCTGAGGAGAAAGGTAAATGAATTGGATCTTACGCTTTCTTCAAGTGCAAGAAACAATCTAAATCTCAAAACCCTAAAAGTCAACCTCCTAAAATAAGAACTCTTGCAGCTGGAGGAGAGAGAAGCGGCCATTAACAAGTGGCAATGGGGAGCTTCAGGGCCAGGCACGTCGCTTGCCGCAGACACTCCGAATGGGGGAGAGGGTTTCTTCCAACTCCTCCAATCCAACAGAGGAGTGCAGATTATGTTGGATATCTCAGAGTGACTATAGAACTCGAAATTGATTTTTAATATATCTATGAGTGGAATGTGGTGTGAGTTTATTACTATTCATAAGTAATATACTAATCTATGACGATATGTGCCGATAACTTACATAGTTGTGATTTATATATTAAGTATGAGCTATAAAATCCAACTTTGGTTGTTCAACCAGTAAAACGAGAACGGAAAGCATATGTCACGTCTCGAGTTCGAGGCTTAGGTTGGGAAGAAGAGTATATATTCTAATCGTATGATTTACTCCCACTCGGATTAGTGTGGATCTCGGATCAATACACCCGTTTACCAAAAAAAAAAGTTACGGGCTAGAATTTATCTACTTTCGTAATATTAAAACTTTATGAAATGAAGGATATATATAGATATGTATCATTCTCCATTTATATATTACATAGTTATAGATATATAGTTAATACAACCTTTTAAAGTTGTTTTCTTTCTTTCTTTTAATTAAAAAAAGTAGGATACAGAGGAGTCCCCAACCTAGTGGTTAGTGACAACTTCCCTCTACGAAGAGGTTGTGGGTTCGAAACCCAGGTATGGAAACTTCCCTTGAGCCGGTCAGCTTTACGAGGCAAACGTTGCGGTGTCCAGTGTCCGACCCGAAGGGTGGTAGGATAGGGGTTTCCCATAATAATAAAAAAAGTCTGATATATGGAAGAGGAATGAAAAGACAGACACATTAGTTGGGATTCTATGGGTCAACCAAGTAGTGCTACGCATTCTAGCAGATTGATCTGGTGACATAAATACATCCAAATCATATAATTAAACCAATAATTAATCAAAAAAAATTTAATTAAGTGGTTTGCCAGGTTTGCTCAATCTTCTTTGATGAACAAGTCTTTATAAGGCCTTTCATGGCATGCACGTTCTATAATACGGCCCTCGCAAACAATCGTCTTAAAACACATCTCAAAGACAGAAGCCAATCTTGAAGAGAGGAGACCGATCAGAAATGGGGAGACCGGCAGGATACTGGGTGAACAAGATTCGGACATCGTTCAAAGGAGGATCCTCGAACAAATCAGACGAAGGAAGTGGTTCCGGTTCTGGTTCTGGTTCTTGTAAGAAAGATGTCATCAAGCCCACGAGTCCAGAGAGTTCGAAAGAAGAATCAAAGAATGGGACTGATCAGAGTGGGAGGAAAGTGATGCTCGTGGTCGATGCCACTTCTCAATCCAAGAACGCGCTTCAATGGGCGTTGATACATTGTGTTCAAGATGAAGATAGTATCATTCTTCTCCATGTCATAAAAACACCAAGAGCACAAGGTAACACACACACACACACATATACATATATAGATATAGATATTACACATGCAGTATTATACGTATTTGCTGTTTTGATGTAGCACTTGGGGAGGAGACTCAGAAGGAGAGAGAGTCGAGGGCTTATGAACAAGTCCATCCGTTGAAGAACTTGTGTCAGCTCAAGAAACCTAACGTAAGTGAATCAAGAATCACTCAAACCTCGAATCAAACTCAGACCGAGGATAAAAAAGAGTGTATATATCATTCACGATCGTATCACACATTATTCGATGCAGAAACTGGTATTCATGGATGTATTGAAGTATGTTTTCAGGTGAAAACCGAGATCATGGTTGTGGAGGCGGCGGCAGAGGAGAAGGGGAAAACGATAGTGGAGGAGACGAAGAAGCAAGGGGTAGGGGTTCTAGTGATGGGTCAGAGGAAGAGGCAGTCCAGGTGGCGTGTGATATGGAGATGGCGTGGGACGAAGAACGGCAATGGTGGAATCGTTGAACATTGCATCCACAACACGGAATGTATGGCAATTGCCGTGCGGAAGAAGAGCAACAACGGCGGTTACTTGATCACCACGAAACGTCACAAGGATTTCTGGCTCCTGGCTTGATGATGAGGACAATCACACCTAAACCCTAAATTCCTTTAAACATCCTTTTCGTCTTGTTCCTTCTCTATTGATTAAAAGTTTGATCGAAGGTTCGACTGGTTGTATCAATGCATTCGCGATAACGATTGACATTAAACAATTGGCAAATTGTTCTTGATAGCGATTGTAAGCTATTGAGATTCAAAAATAACTAGTTGATAAATATTGTGCGTGCTATTTGATGTAAAATACTAAAAAGTATATGATGTTATTTTGGATAGTAATAATTTTTTAAAATATTTTTTTTTATTTTTGTCAAATACATAAATCTAGGAGCAAAATAGGTTTTTTTTTATAGCAAAACATCACAAATACTTGTCAAAATGCAAGTGGAATAATGCAATTAATTTTTCTTTCATTTTTTTTTGTTTGTCATAAAGGGCGATTACTATTAAACCAATCAATTTATTTGGGCTTATCAAATGGGCCTTAAATTAAAAAAACAACTAACACTCTGTACTGTATGATTTAGGCCAGGGCTTTTCTACAAATGGGCTTTGATTTTATGGGATTTTTTCCTAAAGGGAATGATCAAAGATCTAACGGCTGAGAATGCGCTAACATGACATGCAAAGATCCAAAATTTTCATCGCTTAATTTGGTTTTAAAGGTATAATATCTGTCTTGAAATGAAAAAAAAGCAGCGATTAGGATTGTTTTATAGATATCTTGAATTTCTCAAATAAAATATTAAGCAATTTTTTAGAATGAATGTTCAAATAAAGCCAAAAGGATAATTTACCAACACATAGACTAATTACTTCTTCGGTGTATATATGATGATTCCGCTCATAAAAAAAACATTTATCAAAAGGGACAAAAAATTTGTAATTTAATTTTTGTTTCATCATTATAACATCAAGATGTGCATCTTGAAGATGAGGGCTAAAGGGAGTTGGTCTCTGAAGAAGTTGCTGAAATTGAGATATGTGATTCATGCGTACCGAGTTTTCAATTTATAACCCGATTGCACCGCTAACTGCAAGTATACGGTACGTAGTTGTAGTATCGAGGTCGATCATAGGGACTAGGAACAACTCATATACTAATCTATCCTAAATTTAGACCAAAGAGGGAAAAATATTGGTTTTAGAGTGTAGTGTGATGATAAAAACTTTAAACTAACGATTAAACAAAAAAGTGAATGATGTGATAGGATAAAATATAAGCAATGGATAACGTTGTGGGTTCGAGATCCCATATACATGTATAAATGGATTAAAAGGGTCAAGAATCTATCGAATCTACTTCTTAACGTGAGATTCAAGTACTTTTGTAGAATCTAACTCTCTCGAGTCTTAGGTTCCCTATCTAGGATATCGATCTACCCATCTCTCAATGTGATAAACCTTTTTCTAAATGCAGTGATGCTCTTGATTGAAATCTAACTCTCTCGAGTCTAGATTCGACACCTAAAATGACAAGATATCTATCTCTCAATGTGATACTCATAAACTAGGTGCATAAAAAGTTCTCTATCAAAAGTCCTAGATTGTTAAACCACCTCGCGATGCGATTAACAAATCTAATTGATGATTTGATCAGAGACTCATTACCATATACCATATATCTACTGTGTCACCTTCTTCACTTAATTCTTACGGTATTCGTTTTGTTTCTGAACTCTAATTTTTTAGAATTTAGCCTTCCTTCTTTCGGGATTCCACTACCTGCTTGTTTCCAACTCTTGATGTACAAGTGCATTTCATAGTAATAGATATACAAATTTTTAACAAAAAAATAACAAGTCTCTTACATCATTTGGTTAAAGGGTTATCAAAATCAAAGACATTAAGCATAAATCATCAAACTAAGGTGATAACACAATAGATTCAAGCATTAACGAGATGATTCGTATGATGTCTATTTCCGATTTGAGGATTTCAAGCTCTTCGGATAGAGTCTTTCTCTCTCAAATTTAGAGTCACTACTTAGAAGACTACACTACTCATCTCTCAATGATCTAGATGACTCCTAAATGCATTACCAATTCCTATCACAAACTCTAAGCAAGTTAAACCATCTCTCAATGTGAATAACGCACCCATTTGATATTTAGATCCAAATTCTATTCTCATATCTCTATGACCAATGTTGCTCTAAGTTCATTCAATCATGGTTTTGTCAAGATAAAAAACATGAAGAACAAAACATCAAACCAATGAAAACAAATGCATAGGTATCATGGTTTAAGCACAACCATCCATACAAAATGGGGATCCATCACCCACAACTAGAGTTCTACTCTAGATTCAAGGAAGAAAAACAAGAAGAAACAAAGAAGAACATGATGAAGAGAAAAAAGAAAAGCTTAGCAATGGTCTTCAATTGTGGACTACTCCCTCTTCCTCCCAAGAGCTCTAAGCTTCTTTTCCAAGGGTGATTCTCCTCCAAAAAGTGGCAAAAAGATCTCCTTTCCTCTTCCCTATTTCCACTCTTATCATAGAAACCCTAGAGCTTTCTTCTTTTCACTTTGTGGGTTTGAAAATGGTCCAAACTCCTCAAAAATTCTGTTAGGCATTTTTGGACGGCCTCCTTGTTCTTTAGGGTGGAAGCCTGGAAATGCTTCGCACAAAAGGGCGACCGACTGTAAACAAGGGCGGACCTCCTGATATTTCTGTTAAATCTCGAGGCTTCTATCATTTTAGGGCAGCCGGATCTCTTGGTAGGACGGTAGCCAGTTTTTGACTTTTGTTCCGCATCCAACATTTTCGTCCGATTCTTCTGTCGTTTTCTCCCGATGATTTCACTACATCCCTGAACCTGAAGTGACCAAAACAAATACCTAATCTACCCTTAGACGGATTATATGCATGTGACTCCGATGATAACGATCACAATCCACTCATAAAATTCTCAAGTAAAGATGATGTGATCAATATGAGGCAAGAAAAGGTTCTTGAGGTGTCGATTGGGGAATGATTCTTCATGTCATTTATGGCTGGATTCTTGGCTTCCACAGGGCCCGCAAATCGGTGTCTCGGGGTCGAAAATGGTGTTTAATATTAAGAAGCCCTTGAAATGTATTGTGATGATACCGAAAGCCTTTTGTAGTTGCAAAGACTCTTCTTACCCAAGAAATCGTTGTCCAGTGGAAGTGAGGAGATCAGATTCTCGCATTCTTGTGTAATGTTGTCATCCTTCATGAGATTCGGAACTTCGGAATTAGGGTTTTCAGACAAGTTTTGAGATAATGAGTTATATCAATTCTTTTGGGCTGTTTATATAATACCAAAGTCAAAGCGATTAGTTTTGTTCATGTTCTCCACCGCATCCTTGAAGCCTCACAAGTCCTGTTTGTCTGCGTTTTGTGTATATATCTTCGTCTCTAATTATAAGAGAAAATATGTGATATGCAAATATCCCATTTTTCAATATTTCTTTACTTGAAATATATATACAATATTGAATTTAATATATTTTTTTCACTTCAACTTACAAACTAGTAATAATTAAAAAAAATCAACATAGGAGACTATTATGCAACAAATATCTTCCACGTCGACGACCAAAATTGGTGTTTCAAAATCAAAAATCAAAGTCTAGATGATAAAAAAATGCTAAAATTTGTTTTCCCCCCTTTCGAACTTTTCCGACAAGCGTGAAGTCCAAAGAGCCAATAGTGCTTTTGGTAACACGAGAACGAAGAATACGTTGGCCTTCTTGAACCGTATCAATATTGGAAGAGCGAATCTACTTCTTAACGTGAGATTCAAGTACTTTTGTAGAATCTAACTCTCTCGAGTCTTAGGTTCCCTATCTAGGATATCGATCTACCCATCTCTCAATGTGATAAACCTTTTTCTAAATGCAGTGATGCTCTTGATTGAAATCTAACTCTCTCGAGTCTAGATTCGACACCTAAAATGACAAGATATCTATCTCTCAATGTGATACTCATAAACTAGGTGCATAAAAAGTTCTCTATCAAAAGTCCTAGATTGTTAAACCACCTCGCGATGCGATTAACAAATCTAATTGATGATTTGATCAGAGACTCATTACCATATACCATATATCTACTGTGTCACCTTAAATTTGATGCGTTTTTGCAACGAATTCATCATCTGAATCGAAGCAAAATTTTTAGCAAATATATATTTTTTTTGTAAGGTGAGATTCTCCGATTTAGAAGCAGAAGTACCTAACTTGGGCGAAGCCTGATGCGGGAAGAATCGATTCTGGTTGGATCGACGACTAAAATTGCCTAGAAAATGTCACCCCAAACCAATAAAACTTGAAAAACAGACACTCAAATATTGATTGATGGTATGATGATAAGTTGATAACTTTGTAAAATGACAATGAGATGGGCCCATCAAACGATTTGTGGGCCGTGGTTTATTCAGACAAAAGCCACTTATTATTTGAAAATAGGACCAACACAAGAAATAAAACTTTTGTAAGAACACATTCAATACATTCAGATTCAGCACTGAAACTTGAAGCCTGAACCATGAAACTTCTGTTCCGAGGTTCTGTCTATTTCCTCTGCCAAAGAATCCGTCAAAGTATCTCTCCATCCTCCGATTTTGCCTTTCCTAAAGAAAGTGTTCGTTTCTATTCCATTCGGTAACTTACCCTTTCGGTTGACTTCAAAGCTACTGAGACTCTCAAAGCTGCAAAGCCTTATGATCTCATCAACCATTCCTTTCTCCTCCTCTTCTTTAGTGAAAGAGCATCCCAAGAAGTCGGCCATTTGTTTCAGGTGAGTTCTTGGACGCTCTTTCATTTCTTCATATGTAATGAAAAAGACCTTGTCTGGGTTCTTCTGACTTGCCTCCCAGTATCCCAAGACATGATCCCAGAAGGACCCACTGAGAAAAGACCCTTCACAGAACAACTTGACCGCCTCTTCTATGGGACAAAACAACGACTCTTTGGAAGCCATCTTCTGTCCGAAATGCCAAAAGGAAACAAACATGTCCTTAGGGTTCCTACAACAATACACAATCTTACAGGATGAGCCCTTGATGGAGTCGGGCAGCGAAACATGGGCCATATGAGCGCCAAAGAATCTCGGACAGGAGGAGGAGGAGGACACAACGTCATCAGGTAAAACTTGAGGATATTTATAGTAAACTTCCTCCAAAAATGGCACGAGGGCATGAGGGTTGTGAGTGAGAAGAGGATGCTGATGTTGAGAATCATGGAACTTTTTTCGGTTGATGAGAGCGAAGATGAGAGCTTTCAACCATGTCGTACCTGATTTAGGGTTTGTGACGAGGATTACATCGGAATCTTGGGCTTGGAAGTGTTTTTGGCAGTTTATAGTTCCTTGCAAGAGGCTTGGTGGCAGCCAAAATCCTTGGAACTGATACATATACTTCACCATCCAACCTTTCTGTCTTGGAAGAGAAGACATCATGTCTTTGATCTCTTCGGTTATCCCTTCATCTCCCAAGAATGACAGAACTGAAGCATCCGAGTTCGTCATCACCACTAACGTTATGATATCTTGTATTGAGCTGAGATTATTGGTCTGCAATACCCCAATACATACATATATATATATATACACACACACATACATATGTTGGGTTGAGAACCTTGTGTTGAAAACGTGACTCGAAAGCAGTTACATGGAAATTGTAAAAGTTGCAGTCATGGTAGGAGTTACAAAAATGGTTTTTATCGGTTACTAGCTTGTCACACACTTTTCTTCGACGCGAGAAAAGTGATGCGACGGTTCGAAGTTGTACATGTCTGCAGTAGCGAACCTAGAAGACAATTTAACCGGGACATATATTTGCAAATCATAATAAGTGGGGCATAACATCAATTTTTTTTTAAAATTATATTAAATTTATAAAAAAAATTCTTTTTTTTTTCCAACATGCTCGGGGGCATGTGACCCCACTGATTATAAAGTGGGTATGCCAATACGTGTCGGGGGATCGAACGGTCATGCAAAAAAACCAAGCCAAGGGAAGAGAGATCAAACCTTGGTTGGTGACGGGACGAGAGATACGGACGTACAAGGGGCGAACCAAGCCAATTGGGTGGTGATCAGAGAGAAAGTAGGCCAAAAGAAAGGAAAAAGCAACCAAATATAAGAACAAAACGTACCAAAGTTTTATTAAACGAAAAGGGGAGACAGGATCGTTCAAACAAGGGGCCGGAACGCCAGAAAAGTGGTCGGGGATGGCTAGGGAAGAGGGAGGACGAACACAAGAGAAAGGGATGAAGTCCGAGATGTGTTCTTCTATGGCCGGCCACCCCTATTTATAGTGGATTGAACCTATCAACTGATGGAGATACACATCATGGATCCATCCTTCTAAGATTAAATATCAGACCTTACCATTATCTCCTTTTATCCCTATCTCTTCTCATCCTTGTCTCTTCATAACAAAAAAAAGAAAAGAAAAAAAAGAAACAACTTCCTACACAAGTAATTACTCCAAAAAGAGGTAGCCAAGATGGCGGGCTTGGGCCAAAACCTGGTTTGGCTCTTGGCCGTGCCGAGAATGGTCTTTCGGGTTTGGTCCGAGCACAATTTACAACATCATTTCGTTTTTTTTATGTTGGAGTTAACATCTAATTTATAAATCGTCATCCGAATCGAGTTTGATAATTGTTATCGATTTCGTGAGTTTTATTTTTTATTTTAAAAATTAACGTATAATATATATATATATATATATAT